AAAAGAACCTGAGTAAGATGGAGGGGGGTGAGGGGAACGGAACAGAGGGGCGATCATTGCGGGGCTCTGTTGGAAGTACGGTCTCCTCCCAAAGGAGGTGAGAGGGACATAAATAAGTTAGTAGGTGCTTAGGGAGAGCAACGATACCATTTCTTGGCCGTGCTTTAATGAAGCAATACAACAATCCAGGAAAACAGCAGTTTTTTGCAGGTTAGGATGTCCCTGCTGAAGATCACAGAAGCCATTTCCTCTTGTCACTCCAGTTTTACCCTCAAGTAGTCAGAGAGCTGTGATTTTGTATTTCCTGATCAGGAGAACTAAGGGGCTTCCATTGAGCCCTGCAAGCGCTGATTTTTAAGTGCATGGGCTCTACTGTACTTGATAAGCTAGGGTGTCCTGCTAGGGCTTGCAAGAAATGGCTAATCCCCAACACGCAAGTGCATGCATTTATATTTATATCCCAGATAAAAAGAAGCGCGTGCTCCAGGCTGACAACTGCAGTTTCTCATCCGAAAAATTGACAGTGCTGTGAAGTTGTCTAATTTATATAGCAAAGTAAGTAAAGATTGGTTCTTTTTAGCAAATTTTTTTTTCAGACGAGGATTTGGGGAGTGCACCGCTCTCAGTGTTGGAATGCAGATTATCCTGCTTTAATTCTGTACATGACAACCTAGACAGGTACTATCCCTAGAGCCATCACAGAAGAACTGTAATAATAAGACAGTAACGTATGAAAGGCTTTGATGAATGTCTTGTTCAGTACAAGAATGGAAGCATCAAATATGAGACGTGGTCACGGTTACAGCTCTTGGCAGTGTTCCTGCCTGACCATCGCTACTGAATCGTCCGTGTAGCATTGCCATCTCAGGAAGGGCTGCAGTGCTACTTGCTGAGAATTTTTGGTTCAGGAGCTGGCAGGCTCCACAGGTGCTTTGCCAGTCTCTTGCCAGACAATGACTGATAAGGTTTCGTGAGAGTACTGCAGCCTGAGTAAGTGACAAGGGTAAGATAATGATAAAGCCACCATCCTGAGGGCTAAGACTAATGTCTCTCTTCCTCCTCTGTGAAGAAATTGTGTAGTGTTCGTAATGGAAACATTTGCAGGTGTAGGAAATAAACTTTTCTGCCTTTCTTATGGCTCTTTTGTATCTTCAGTATGTCTTACTGTGGTGGCGAGCACCTGAAGAAAGTGATACTGGAACACCTGTTCAGGGGGTCCTGCCAGTAATGCTTTCCTGTGAGAACTTCTAAGAATCTCAGCTCTCTGAGCTGGAAATCAGTGGCTGCTCTGCTCACTAGACTATTCTGTCCAGATGGATATAAATTAGCAACCTGAACTTTGGCTTGATTGCCTGCATCAACTGTTTTCAGTTCCTTGTGAGGGAATATCCAGTCTTACAAGAGTAATAAGCACTATAGCATTGTATCTTCCATGCAGTAGCTATGCTGCTGCTATTCTGTTCACTTAAATTCTGATAGTCCAGCGAGTTCGTGCAGACTCTTTAGAGGCTTAGTTTAGGTGCAGGTATCTAACAATATAATGCTTGTGTGTCAACTGTGCGTCTTGCCTTTCACGGTAGGTTTTGACTGTAAGTTGTAACTCTTAATATGAAAAATATGATGTAATGCAAAAAGTTAGACATGGGTTAGTTGTTTTTTCTCTGGCTCTAGTGCCTAATACTTTCTTTTTTCTCTAGGGGGAAGCTGGGCCGGTATCCTCCATGGCCAGGAAAGGTGAGGTTTGGTTTGTTTTTATTTTTATTATTGCTTTCTTGGTTCTTGTTTGTTTGGTTTTGCTTTTTCCTTCTGCACAGAGAAAGCTTTGCCTGAAAGCATTTAAATTAAAGATTAATATTGGGGGTTTTGTTTGGTTTTTTTTAAATACATACCCCACAAATCTGAACTGTGAACCAGTTTAGGGCTTTATTTGATCTAGAAGTTCAGCCTGTCACTAACAGCTGTTAGTTCAGATGGAATGAAAAGCAACAGAGAGCAGTTCATCCAGCTCTGGAACTGATTGTGTTTCCCAGATTTAGTTGCTTAAATCCTATCACTTTCTGCAAGACAGGTTTCTTTTCCTCCCATAGTAAATTGGTTAAATGCACTGTGTTAAATAATAGAAATAAAGAGTTTGGCTTCTCAAGATACTGTTTTAGAGCTATGTTTTTTGAGTAATAATTCTGGGGGTAGGGAGTAGTTAAACTTTCTCTTCTGGTTTGGGTTTTTTTCTGATGAAAGGCCAAAAAGATTTAAAAAAAAAAAAAAAAAGAATTGAATTATATGTGCCATTTTTATTATTTCTACTTCTCTGAAAGAACTTTGTTTTTATTTTTGGTGGAGGTATGAGGACTAAGCATGTTGAGATAACAGCATGTGGCAGGGAAAAGTGTTGTCAATGTGGCTGACAATCATAAATGTTTGGTTTCACTCTGGTTATTGATCAAGTTAAGTCCAGGCTCCACTGCAGTCTTTCAGGTGTCACCTGTGTAACTGAGTGACAGCTTTTCTCTTGACTAATATTTTAAACTTTATAAGCAATCTATTCTGGGAGTAAAGACAAAGCTTTAAATGTAAATTTTAAAAGTTACCTAAGTGGAACAAACTTTGATTAATGCCATTTGGCTTTCTAAGTTTAAAAAAAGATTGCCAGCTTATCTGTTGGGGATAGGGAGAAGAAAACCTCACTAAGAATGTAGTGATGTATCAGTGGAGTTTGGGTACTTTTTCATTCTGCTGCAGCATACCATATCTAAGGGAATACATGGGTTATGTATTTACTTGAAAGACTTTCAACAAATTCAAGTTCTCTTCCTAGTCAGATTAAAAAAAATTTAAAAATGAATCTACAATAGCTCTAACACATGGCAGTAAAATCACAGAGTATAAATTTTCATTATGTGCTTTTTAACTTTCACTTCTAATCACCTTCAGATTGTTAATCCACCTAAAGATCTGAAGAAACCTCGTGGAAAAAAGTGCTTCTTTGTGAAGTTTTTTGGAACAGAAGATCAGTATGTACCTGCTTGTTTTCATCTGGTGAAAATACCGTGCCATGTAATACAGATCTTTCATGGAAGAAATATTTACTAACACGGTGCAGTGTAGCTTTGCAAAGGATTGTCTTTGATCTACACACAAAAAAAATTCAGCTATTATTGCATGTGGGTGTAGGAAGACTGTAAAGAGTTACATACTCAGTCATGTTAGGATCTTAGTTGCCGCTGTGAAGGAAAGTTCTTGCTAGCTTAGGGAGTTTTTAGGGGAGTAGCTGTGACGTGACTGGATTAGATTTTAGCATATATGAGAAAGGTACAGCTAAGAGTATTCATTTGTTTTTCTGGCAGAAAAATAAAACAGCTATATGCTTGCCATTTGTGAAAAAATATACTGTCGTACCTGATGACTGAAAACATTCTTGCTGTGCTTTGGGAAGACTTTACAGTATAGGAAAGCCAAAACTGTTGTAGACTGCCTTTTTGCAAGACAGAATTTATTGATTCCAAACACGCAATCAAAATCATAGTTGTCTTAGACGTAGATACTTACAAACTGGGAAAAACCCCAAAACCCTGAGAACTTGGGTATTTCATGAAACTGAAAATTATTTCGCTAATTTTTCAGTTTTTCCCTTTATTTTCTGCTATTTTGCATTAAGTCATGCAGTAAGGGAGAAAATTACAAATATCTGCAGAAGACTAGAAAACCGCTTTCTTTTTGGAAAAAAGGTAACAAGAACTGAGACCATATAATGGATGTTTCTTAAGGAAATTATATTCCACTGCTAAATTATTTTTGGTCAATATTTAGAAATAATTTTCCATTAAGAACTGAGGTCTAAATTTGATGGAGTAGAAGTGAATGCTTGCATACTAATAGGAACATTTGTTGGATCTCTAGTAATGTAAGGCAGGTAAAGGTTGATTTGGGGGCAGAGAGTGTTTTTTGGTGGTGGCATTGTTGTTAAACATGGTTATTTGAGCTAATCAAGTTCTAAAAGTTGAGGAGATCGACTATTTCTACCCTGATTGTTTGTTCTCAATTCTTGTATTTCTCATTATTAAATCAAATACATAGATGTTTTGTATTAAGACAAGTTTGGAAAAAGTGGTTATATGTCTGGGGTACTGTAGCTGAGATTAGCAGCATGATTGCAAATGAAGAGTTCAGAGCTGCAAAATAATGGGGATTTATTACGCGATTCTAGAGCTCTGGCTAGGGAAAATCCAGTCATCTGGCACAGTAAGGTAGCGTGGTCAATGTCGTGTCCCTCCCTCCCCCCTCCCCATCTCCAGCTTGTGAAATTTAATCATTTCCTGCTAGATAATCATGATTTAGAAGTTTGCTCGCTTTGACTGGCATACCCTACCTGAAAATTAAATAGAAATAAATACAGTTCCCTTTGTTCTTCTTTTAAAATAATATTGATGGACAGAAGAGAGAGAAACTTGTGTGCCTGTTCTGTCCTGATTTGGAACCTTAAGAGTGTGCTGGTTAGAACTGTGCTGTTCTGACCAGTGTGCTGCTTGAGAAAATCCTTATCTTTGAGCATAATCAATGAACCAGATCAGTAAAAGTTTAAACAATTTTACTCATGAGCATGAAGAGAAAATCTCTTTACTTTACTTAGTGCAAGTAAACTAATGTGTTTTGCAAATACTTTCTCACTTTCATAAGTGAAAATATGTAACTGACAAAATGTCACAACTCTACATAATGAACAGCATGACGAATAGGAGGATGCAAAGCTCCATCAATGAATGTAGTCCGTGGTGCGATGAGTACACTGACTCATATTCTAGTGCACATTGCTTCTGTTTTCTAGCACTTCGCTCTTTCTGCCACTTTGAAGTTTGTAAGGTGACATAACTATACCACTGATCCATTTTTACAGCTCTTCTGTTATTGCCTTACTCTGTCAAGGTTTAACAGGTGAGGATCTGGATATAAGCTATTTGCCTATTGTCCAGTCTGTGTAAGGTGAAGGTGGAGCTAGTTGCTGGGCAGAATCCCTCTCTCAAACTTCTGAGGGTGATTGCCAGCCAGTTTGTCGATGGGTAGGCAATCTCAGACCTCATAGTCTTATTTTCTTCTGAGGATTCCCATGTGACTGCTGTGGCCAAAAATGCCACTGTTTCAGGCTAGTTAAAAATTGTTTCCTCCTGACTTACTTGGCTCCAGTTTGCCATACCAAAGATTAAGGAGAAAGCTGCTTAGAAGTAAGAACTAGTGTGCATGCATCTGAGCGGAGTGGATGGGTGAATAAAAACATACTGAGGAGTTTGGAAGTGGTTTTGGTGTAGTGTATAGATAGGTTTTGGTTATTTGTGAAATCCTTAATAGCTTAGGATACAGCACAGAAGCAAATGCATTTTTCTTTACCTGTGAATTGAATACTAATACTTACTGGCCCAGTGCGATGCTGCAGTGACTAAGGAAATACATTAACTGGAAGGCTGTAAGTAGTTTTGGTCAAAGACATAAAAGTGAGAGCATGAGTGCATTCAGACTGTGCTCTAAGACCTGGCTTTTGGTAGTTTCTACTAAGCTTTATGCTCCTTATGTTTATTGTGTTGGTGGGGTTGGTTGCTTCTGTCACTTCCAAAGTAACAGGTTTTCTGGAAGATAAGGATTCTCTACCCATGGAAGAAGAATTTGCTTTTTTGTTTAAACTGTGAAGTACACCTAAGCTTTACCACAGTGAAAGCCACCTTGGTGTTCATAGTAGTAATATAATATCCATGTCCTATTCTAAGTGATTGCCTTAATTGTGATGCACATTCTCAAGTAATGTTTCTTAATAACTTGTTCTCAAAATTGATAAGGAGATTTTTCTACTCTGGCTAGGAGTTTTTTTTCTGAGTGTCCCTTCTCAGAGCAAGTCACATTAGAAGGATTGTTCATCTAAAATCAAGAAGAGTTGATATTTCCTGCCTGTAGACCTGGCAAGCATGTAACAACATCCAGTTATGGGAGTATAAACAAGAATTTTTATTTATTTTTTCTACATACTAGTGGAACTTCGACCTCTTATCTGTGTTTCTAACTGTGCTTTTCCGATAGTTTTTAAGATCCCGTTTTATTTCCCAAGCTACAGTCTTGTCGTAGGAAATCTTTGTAGATCATTCCAGTAGTCAAGTACTGCAATGTAAGAACTTACACATTGCTATATACGTGCATTTATAGCTTTCAGTAGTTAAAATTAATAGACTGGCAGGCCCATAGCCTACAAGTCTGTCTTGGTGTGCTTCATCCAGTTCAAAATATTCTTACATTTCATGGCCTGCTTGGGAGTTCATTACGACATTGCCAAAACTAAAAAAATCATTGATTTGAAGGTATCATTCTACTATGTTTCATAGAAGTACTAGGGAGAGTCCTGCAGTCATCAGAGATGTGTGTAGAAACACACATATTCACCTCCCTTCCCACCCTCTCTCCCCCTTAGATATTCTGTAGTAGCCAAATGGTCTTGCAAGTCATGTATATCAAAGTCTTAATAGGAAGCTGGAGCAGTCCATTCTTGCTCATAGCACCTTTTTGAAGCATCAGTACAAACCTAAATAGTGTCACTAAATGTGGTGGGGTCAAGGGGCACTTCCTGACTTGATATATTAAGGAAAAATTGGATGAAGCTTGCAATCCAAGATAAGTATAATAATCTGCAGCCTATTTCCATCAGGCACAGTAATTTTAGCACAGCACTCATTGCCTTCCCATCCTCCATATCCTGTTTGGATGCAAACACCTACCCTCTTCTTATGCCACTGTTCTCCCTGGTTTTCAAGGAGAGAGAAATTTCTGAATGTAGTCTTTCTAAAATGTTCTTTCAGGTCCTGACATCAGAAAACACTTGCTTAAAGTTTGCCAGGTGTTGGACGTGGTACTCTGGCAATCTGAGGAGCCAGAGCTTAGAGGCTAAGTTGACAGAGAGGGTTAGTTTACATTGCTGGTGTTTCTCAGTTAGGCACATTATCCCATGCAGAGCTCTATGTTGCTGTAGCCAAACTGCTCTATAGCAGAGCCAGCTGGAATGTTGTTAGACATCTCTGCAGAGTGCCATAGCTGAAAATTACTATAGTCAAAACTTTCCCACCTCTTACTGATATCTGTGGATGTGTAAGTACTCTGCAAAATTTTTTTTAATGTGCAAATTTGAAAAATCTAATACTTAGTTATTTCTTTCAGTATTGCCCTGCTGCTTGTTTTCTTCTGCTAAGTATCCCCTCCTTTTAGCTGCATGGACGTTTATTCTAATTTAGTGTGGTCATTTTTGTTTGGTTTTTTTTTTCCATTAAGAAGCTTACATATCAAATTCCAGAGTTCAGCCATTTGAGTTGTTTTACTGATGAAAATTGAGGCATTCCCTTTTAACAGCAGGAAACCCATCTTGATTTCTCTGTTGTGTGTTCACACACATTGGCCTTGTAAATAAAAAAACCAAGCAGTTTTCTTTTGACTTTCAAAATTGGTTGTGTTAGCATTTAGTGTGGGCATCTAAACTGCTACAGTATAAAACTTTATGAAATTTTTCCCAGACTGTAGTAAGTAATAGAAATTTGGAGATACAGTGCCACTGTTTTCCATCCCTAACGGTAAGGCTTAAAAAAGTGAGTATGAACATGTGCAGTGAGGAGGGATAGGATGTGCAGAAACCTAAGAGGAAAAAAAGTTCTTTTTATTTAGAAATTCAAATCTGGCAACAACATTTAACGTGCTTTATTATAATGTACTCCAAAATTTTCTTTCCTTTATATACATAGTGGAAAGGCTTCTCATAAGCTGATGTTGTCTAGTACCTAGGGATGCTTTGTTACTGAGTGCCACACAGAAGAGCTTTACAGTATAACAGAATTTTAAGATACGTTTCACTATAAAGTCTGGGCAGCTAGGAGGGATTCTCTGAATAGTTGCTGGACAGCAGGCTCTAGTCTGAAAGTAATGATTTGACTCGTTATATTACGTTAAGTCATGAAGATGTAAACTAAGCAAAATGATTCAGCTTTGCATGCAAAAGAGTACTGGGTTCTGCTTCCAGGCTATGGTGGAATCATGGTCTAGGCTATACTAGAAGTGTGGAAAGGATGCTAGCATTTTTTGCAGTCAGTTCTAGCAGGAGGGCTCATCTCTCCAAATGCGACCCAAAAAGTTTCAGTCTACCTTAAGCAAGTTGATTCCTGACCTTTATGTTCAGTTTAGCTGTATGATGTGATGCTTACAGTGTCTGAAAAGGCAGCTGTTGAACCACTTCACCTGCTTGCAGGAGGTAGACCACACTGGAGAATATTTAAAACCTATAATCGTGGCTAGTCAGTGTTTGTGACATAGAGACGTTTTAGGACCAGAGAAAATAAGTTTGACTGGTTTTTACTGTGTGCTGAGCTGCTGTATGCTAAGAAGCACCATTGACCATCCTAGCTCAGGAAAAGCTTCTCTAAAACTTATACAGGTCTGTTTTAAGTAGGATGAAAATAGCTTTTTAACAGTGTGGCTCATAAGCCTGGGCTTGAATCTGGGGAGAGAGGAAAGTAGTCTAATCTCTGCAAGAGCCACAAGGAATGTTGAAAGCAAAGGCATTCCCGTAAGCCGCAGTGAAGGAGTGGCAGAAGAGCTTGTCAACCTGAAGGAAAGTGGAGTTGTCACCTTGTACTTGACCACTTAACCATTTGGTAAATGTCAAGAAGTCCTATTTAGCAGCAGTGGAAACAGGGAAGTAATTTGAGTTTCCTCATAGTCAGGTTAATACTCTGCTACTGTACCAGCTTATCTTAAAACATCAGCAGTGAAGAAAACAGTTCTTTCTCCTCAAAAGTGAAAACGTTGTTTTTGTGCAGAATATCAAGGATATATATCAAGAAATATGTTCAGCAATGAGCTGTGGTGTTTGCGCTCACTTTATTTGTGGTCAGCTCTGTTGTGAGATATGTAATTTTGTTTTTTTTTCTCCAGTTTTTGCAGACACTTGTGTGTGCACCATATGTTTGAACAAGGGATTGATGGCTTAGAATTGTTATGTGGCCTCTGCTTTCAACAACCTCTCAAGCAGATTCATATTATTGGCTGCCTTATGTGGAGACTTGTGATTGTGGGTGTTCCTCCTGGTGATACAAGAGCAGTCACTAGACTGCCTTTGTTCTAAACAAGTACCTGTGATCACATCCAAAAGCTGTCTTGCTGATAGAGAATATGAATAACGCTTAAAGCGGAGCACTGCTAGCGTGAGAGGATATAAAACTCGAGAGAGAAACTAAGTAAAAGTGCCAGAAGAAAGTTCTCAGTGAATGCAGAAGTCGCAGCCCTTCAGGTTGTAGAAAGCAAGTGAGTTTGGGCTGGAGAGCAACTTGGTCAGTTGCTCTGGAGAAAAAAGTGTACTGTGTGTTTCTAAAAGTGGGATGGTCGAGAAAGTTGCTGTTTGGAGAATATAACTAACTTTTTTGTTTGTTTGTTTCTAGTGCTTGGATCAAAGTGGAGCAGCTGAAGCCTTATCACCCTCACAAAGAGGAAATGATAAAGATTAACAAGGGTAAGCGCTTCCAGCAAGCTGTGGATGCTGTAGAGGAGTTTCTTAGAAAAACCAAAGGCAAGGACCAGGTGAGTGGGTTCTTTTTTACTGTGTGCATCAAAACAAGTCTTGGCATGAATGATGGTCAGATGCATTTTTATGTGAAAGGAGTTTGTTGCCTCTGGCAAGTTGAGGAGGGGTTTGTTTTCATTCCTTTGGTTTTGTTTTGGTTTGGTTTTTTTTCCCTATCATCTCTTCTTCCCCATTCAATCTTGTTTGGTAGGCGAAAAAAAGTGTTGTTAAACTGATGGAGAAACTGAATAGGCTAATTGATCTGCTTATGATGATTTGGTAAATCAATCTTAAGTCTTGGGCTAGAATTTGGTATCTATTAATCTTCTCTTTAGTATATTGGAAGTGCATATATGTGCACGCACTCCCAGCAAGTTTTCAAGTGGCCTGTTCTGTTACTTGCTTACTTAAACGGATGTGTTTTTGCAGGAGAACTAACCAGGGACTTCCTTCACCGACTTCAAAGCGCTAACAAATATCTAGTTTTCAAGTTACTGTGCTGTTGTTTTGCTTGATAGTAATCAGCACAGGGTCCTTCACATCCTTGGTTTTGCATGAAAATCATTCCAGCTCTTCTCTTCTTTCCTTACCATCTTCTATTCTGTAATCTCTCAGGCATCTTCCCATAACTCCAACGAAGAGAAGAATCGGCGTAATTCCAGTGAAGAAAGAGGCAAGCAATCCACTGGTGAAGAGAAACGCAAAGCCAGTTTGACTGAAGGGAAGTTGAAGAAGGGCACAGGGGAAGGAAAAAAGAGGGTCTCTTCTGTATCGTCAGAGAGAGGATCAAAATCACCTTTGAAAAGAGCCCAGGATCAGAGCCCCCGAAAGCGGGGGCGTCCACCCAAGGATGAGAAGGTTTGTGTTGTGCATGTCCGCCAGTGCCCTGTGGACTTTGCAGATGGACTCTAGGGTTGACTGGCACCTTGACTAACAGGCCAGCAGGAAGAGTCAGTTCAGTATCAGGTTTTTTTAAGCTGTTCCATGTTACTACTTCTAGACCATTTGGCTGCCTGATACCTTTGGCAATCATATTGTTGATTCTTCCTGTAATTTTTACCAGTTAGTTATTTTGAGTGGCTCTATTCATATCTTTGAGAGGGCTTTGAGAACTGTATCATGAGATTCCACCTTTCATCTTGCCTTCCCTCAACTTCAGTTTGTGTGGGAAGGATTAGTGAAGAGATGTGGGTCTTCACCTGATTCCTGACTTCTTCCATCTCATCTACTTTGTGTGATTAAGTGATTAGTAGTCATTCAGCTTCACCCTCAGTACTTATAGAGGATGGGATATTCTTAAGGGCTAGGGCTTAAAGAAGAAACTCTAGTAGCCTGGGGAATCCACCAGAAGAATTAATTGTATTCATTTCAGCTTCTATGCTATAGGATATATTTCCATTGTCCATTATAGAAGTCCAACCTTGGAGCATTATTATTTTATCCCCATTACTTCCCTGTTATTTCTGGATGTTGTGGCAGCAACGATAGCCACCAGTACTTTGTCTACCCTCATCTAGAGTTCCAGCCTTTTTATTTATTGTGGAACTCACTGTTGTGGTCCAGATCTTCCTTTTCCAAATGGATAATTATTTCAGTGGATTATTAGAATGCACATGTTCCGTCGGAGACTACACCTGAAGACCATTGGGAGACTTCAGCTGATATACCATGCGGCAGCCTGCTTGCTCACCTGTGCTTCAAAGGGATGACGTTATGCTGTGCTTCACAATCTTTGCTTTCAGTGCGCTTCAGGATGCAAGTCAAGGTGGTAGTCTTTGATCTCCAAAGTTGTGAATGGATAGGCCTTCGCTGGTTGAACAGCAAACTCTTTCTTGATGTAGTAAAACGAAGCTGATCATCTCAGATATTAGCTTTGAAGGAAATCTGGCTTTTTTTTTTTTTTTTTAGAGCCAGCTTCTGTTAAATCAGGCTGTACAACAGAGCCCATCAGTTTCTCCTTTTGGGGGGAGTTGGAGGAGGGTGGGGAATGGATGCATATTTGTGAATTCTTACTAATAATTACAGAACTTGTGATTTGACTGATGCAGGAGAACACTTTACCGGCAACATACTTTCACCTTTCAAAGTGTCTTGCTATGAGCGTGTTGTATCTTCACATATTTCTGTTACAATAAGCCACGGGGCCTTTTTTTCTACTTTCAAAATGCTTTTGTGTCTTTGAGCTAGATTCATTCCAAAATTGATCAAAAGTAATGGCTGGGAGAATTCTGATCATGCTGACACATTGCATGCTTAGGTTTCACTGTATTAACTACCTCAGGGCATCAGAGCACTTTGAGTGAGTTAATTGTGGTAGTAGAAATTATTTTACTGGCAAATTGCAAGCGGAGTGGTTTTAAACAGCTTATCACAAAGAGGTGGCCAGCTATGTGATAAACGTCTGGCCACAGACCATGAAAATAAGCAGGCTAATGTAGGAAAGTAGCCTTGTAGCTTCTGGAAAGTGATGTACTGACAATTAAAGAAATTGCCATGAAAATATAACAGTACTGCTTTAATAGTATTTTTCAGCCTGTGAAATAATTTTAAAATCTTGTCGTCTTCTTCGCTGGTTCTCATAATTTCCCCAAATTCTTAGCCCTAGGGTAGAAAACGCTTATGTCGCTGTTCTGCATTACTGCAGTGTTGGGATTTGGGTGTTTTTGCCCTATCACAGTCCAAATGCTGGCTTTCCAAGTAATAAGGATGCACAAGATTCAAGGATCCAGTTGTTGCTGAGGTGTGCTCTGTCTAGAAATGCTCTGTAGGCATACATGATAATTCAAACACTCTCAATTTGAAGCTTATACTAATATTTTCAGAGGACCAACTTGACTTCATAGGTATCAAAGCAGGCTTCATCCACGCTTTACCAGTTGAAACAGCAGCTTGGTCTCTAAGGAGAGAATTTTAGTGTGCAGGCTCTCCCTAGACCGAAACGACGCTTTAAGGTTGGAGACTGATGTCTAAATTGTCCCTGCTAACAGATGAAACAGTTGCATCAATCTGGGTTACCTCCAGGAGTCTTGCTCTTACCTTTTTTGCAAACAATGCTCTTCTCTTGTGGTTCTGTGTGGACGTTAAGGTATATTGTGCATTTTTCAGGAAGTAATTTTGGAGGGGAGATAATGTGATTCCATTTCTGAACCCTCATTTCAGGAAGGTAACACATACTATGCGGAAGTCCTGCATGTTCTTTTCATACAGCATAAAGACCTATATGTCTGTAGCATATGTGTATCTCCTATAGCATAAAGGCCTATTTTAACCTATATATCTTGGGGAAATAAGAAAGATAAATTTTAATCTGCTCAACAGTAAAAAAAACCCCGATGCGTTAAGTATTATCATGACATTAAAAATCAGGGACTGTTGAGTGAATTGGGTAGTCCATATATCAGTGTCTGTCTCGTGGATTCTGCAAACTTGAGCAGATGTGACTATCAGCCTCATGCTTTGAAGGTTCTCCTAGTAACAGGTAGGCTACTTTTTTTATCACAGTGGAGGATTAAAAGACCTCTGACTGTGGTGGTGTTCTTCACCCATTTGTTTAGCTTTTTGCATCCGCCAGAGGAGAATGCTGGATCAAGCGTGTTCGTTTGCTTCTCTGCTCTTTGCGTGATTACACAAGTGCAATGATTCCTCTTGCATATGAAGAATGGATTGTCCAGAAGCCATAACTGTGGTTGAATTCCTTCGTTGGCAGTTCATGTTTTCTTCACCTCACCTGTGTTGATAATACACTGTATGTTTAAATATGAATTCTTCATGGAAAAGCATGTGAAATGGAAGGCATTTGTAGTGCTTTTCAAAACTCTGTATGTGTGCTCATATGATCAACGGTGCTGTGGCCAGCCACTGAGCCAGGTTGTAAGCTCTTTCTGATCCTCCTTCTATCTCCTCAGGACCTCACAATTCCAGAGTCAAGTACAGTGAAGAGAGTGATGACTGGAACAGTGGCTGGATTTAAATGGCCGCCAAGCGTCAGTGAGGTGAGAAACTTTACAACATATGCGATCTAGGAACTGAGTTTGTGGAAGCAAATCTAGAACCTTTTGTCTGGGCTGTAAAATAGTGAGATCTATTCTTCCTCCTGTAGGAACAAAGTAAGACGTTCTCGTTCTGTCATTCTGTAGTGTAAGAAAGCTAGACAATGTCCTGGGCAATTAAGAAGTATGCTGGGAAGTGAGATTTCAGTCTTTATGGAACCATTTGCAGATTCACACTTACCTTGCTGCGCTCATTTTTGCACTTCTTGTTTCAAAAGTATTTCTGGGTCTGGCTTCCCAAAACTGGAGGACATGGTGTGGATGGTCTCTCCCTGTCTGGATACTATTGTATGGGGTGGTTTCATTTGATTTGCCTCATAAGCAGCTTTTGGAAACCTTTCATTTTTGTGCATAAATAAATAAGTGGTCAGTAAAGCAGAGTAAGAGCAGCGTGACTCTAGGCTAGCACATATGATGCTCATTGGGGAGGTGAGATACCGGGGCCTACAGTCCTTGTTGCTGTAAATATGGGTTTGCCTAGCATGTGACAGTGCTAGGTGTAATCTCCAGCCAATTCCCAGAATGCTGTTTTAAGGAGTTCCTTGGAAGTTGGAAAATAAGTTTTCATTCCCTTGGGAAGAAGAAGAAGCGAGGTATCAGGTCTCTTCCTTCCATGTTAATCTTGCTCATAATCATCTTTGGTTTTCCTACAGATGTCCAAAAAGGAGGAATTTGTCTTGAATAGCTTTGGTTTTGAGAATGAAACACAATGTAAACTGCTTAATTGAAACAGGCTGCTTCATACAGCTGCTAAATTTTATATTTTCCACCTTAAGCTATTGTTCTCATACAGCTTGGGACATCAAGGGAATTGTGCTGTGGCTGCTCAGTGACCCTCTGGGAATGTTTCTGAGCCTGTACTTTCTCTCTTTGTAGCCTGTGAAGGACAGTGATCCACACTTCTGCTGAGCCAGACAGAGAAGGTGAGGATTTGGCAGACAGGATCATTCTGCTGGTCTGTCTAGCTTGGCATCCTGCCCTTTGCTGGTTCTAAGTACAAGGAGTATGTGTAAAGAGCTCTGAAATTCTGTTCTTTGGGGGCTAGTGGCAATTAGATTCTCACGTGCAATCTTGTAGTTCAATTACTTCTTAACCTTAAGGTTTAGAATGATTTAGCATTGAGTACAGTGAATAGTTTAAGTAATTAAAGATTATCTAGCACCAAGGATTTGACACATCTGTTGTAGTAAATTCTGTAGTTTGAACATTGAGGAAAAGCTGTTTTTCTGTTTAAAAACCCTGTTGTTTGATTGTCTTTAATGATTGTCATACCAGTTCCTTCATCTGAATGAATTGTCAATTAACTGAATATGGCAGGAGAATTTCTAGGACCAGAAAAACTCCATGTAAAACATAGCCAATTTATCTCCTGAGAGTCAGAAGCCTTGCAGGATTTTATCTTCAGCAGTGAACATCAGGAGGAAAAGGAAAGATCAAATTAAATGAAAAAGGATTTATGTCTAACTGAGGATCTGGGCAGAGCCAGAAGGATTAAGAGCAGCTAACAGTTTTAATCTAGACAAGCTCACAATAAGCAGCATGGGAAGGAGCAGCCTTCGCTTTATCGTTTGTTGAAAGCCACATGCCTTCTCATATTAACAAGAACGTTTTGCTTCCACAGCTGCATTGACATACTGAGCATAGATATGAGGCAAGATGCTCTATGGCAGGCTTTAGAGATCTCTGTTTTCTTTGGGCCAAATGTGAGAGTAGGGGTGCCCTGGATCCTTGCCTCTAGAGGAGTCTGTCATATGAACTACAGAAAGGTGTTTGCAGTACCTGTATCAGAAGACAGACTCAATTGCTGGGACAGGGTGGGAAAGGAAGAGCTTAGTATGTTGCAATAGGGTTTTGTTTTTATTCTCTCCCATTGAGGGAAGCCTGAGAGTTTTCCTGCTTTGCAGATGGTGGTGGGTGGGTGAGCTGCCTGTTTCTATGTAATAAGGATATGGTCTGTTTGCTCAGCAGAGCAAATCAGCACTATCCTTTCCCTGAATGCTTTGTCTTCTCCATACAGCCAGCTGTCTGCTATCAAGCCATCACAAAGAAGCTGAAGGTTTGTGAAGAGGTAAGGCAAATGTTGGTTTTGATGGATTTTCCTTATTGTCCTGACGACTTGCAGTTCCTCCAGAGCTGTGCACTTTACTTTTTTATTTTCCTCTCCCCCGCCTACCCCCCAGGAAACAGGATCCACCTCCATCCAGGCAGCAGACAGCACAGCAGTCAATGGCAGTATCACGCCTACAGACAAAAAGTAAGATCTCCAACGCACTTCAGCCATTTCCCTTCCTTTTTCTCCTTCCCAGCTCATACATGCAGCCATTATCCAGCTTGTCACTGAGAATAAATAAACCTAATGTTTCCCTCTAACTACAGATCTCCTCTGTCCTTGTGTGAAACTCTGATTTGGGGGGCAGGGGGGAAGGAGGCAGCTAAAAACAAACAGAGGCTGTACAGTAGAAAAATTCAGAATAAGGCCTGGCCTGGATACATTTGCAATTCAGGGCTTTTCTGCAGTTGCCCTTTTCCTGTAGGGCATACTGCAGAACATTAAGCAGCAGTATTTCTGAATGCTGTATGAGGCAGAAAGATAAAAGGGTATCTTTCTCCAGTAGTGCCTGGCAGTTGACTGGGGTTGTTTAATTGCTCTCCTGAGCATGTGGAAGACAAGAGGAAGAGGGAGGCGTGTTCTCCCAGCACAAGAGCTTTGCTGTGTGGCACGTGAGCTTTCTGGTTTCTTCTAACGTCCCCCTTCTCCTTTCTAGAGTGAGAGAAGCCTAACTTGAGCTTCCTGTTTCACTCTGTAACTTCCGCTCTGTTCAAATTGAGTTCAGGCCACAGCTTGCTGTTTGCCGTTGGGGTCGTTCTCATGGGATATCAGTTCTCAACTGTACTCCAGGGGAACCAAAATAACAATGAAGCTGTTCAGGTAAAACAGTCTCTCAGGAAAGTGTGGCTCAGAGGTGGGTTGGGAGAGAAAGAATATATCCTCTGTTTTAGAGACTTGAAAATAGGTGGACTTTGTTTGGGCTGTTTCAGGAGCCTATAGTGACTTGCTCTGACCTGTCTAAATTAGTTTGCTCTCACAAAAGGCAGCATGTGTAGTTGGGAGAGTGCAGGTGGCTTGCGAAAGCCACAGCACATCTGTAGTGTGGCTAGTTCTGAAGAATTAACTGGGGAATTGCCAGGCAGATTTCGTTGTGAAGTTACATCAGATGTGTAACTGAACACTTCATAACCTCCTACTAGAATTGTGGTTTTGGTATGAAGCTAGCTGCATGATGTATAAAAGGATTCTTGCAGCAATGACTGCACAGGAATTCCTGTTGCAGGTAACTGTGGAGATGGAACTTGTGAGCGTGTTGTCTTTTTCTTGAAGGGGGGAGCAAAATTCTTGCCAGCTCTGAGGGGGGAGGCATGGGGGAAAGCAGCTGGTATCTGGGACTGTTGTATTGTCGCTCATGGTGACCTGTACTGGCCTATTACTTCCTTCCTTTCTGTGTCTGTCCAAAATTGCAGCTGCAGAGCAGGGACTAGGTCTTGGTCTGTGCATCATGCTTAGCCCAGTAGCCCTTGCTGAGCTTTATTAAAATAAAGATTGTAATGTATCATTCAGTAGTATAAGCAAGTCATTGTACTTACTCATTGTGACTTAGTTTAAAAATCAGAAGATTAATCAGAGAAACACCTGCAGATCTCTGAATGTTCCCTTTATCTTCAGTAAGGCAATGGCTGGCAACAGAAAGCACAAGAGCAGCAATTTTACTAAAACAAACAAATAAAACCCCCCAAACAAGCAAGCAAAAAAACCCAAACCACCTAAACCTATAATATTTAGGTAGTCTTCTGAAGCAGACTAAAGACTTTCTTCAGGAAATTGTTAGGGATGCTTGGTAAGCAAAATAAATCCCAGCTTGCTTTTAAAGGTCAGTATCTGCCCATTCTAGCTGTGTCTGCCGTGGCACATGTTTGGTTGTGTTGTGATTTGGGGATTTTTTTGCTGGTGATGCTCTAGGGTTTGCTTTCCATCATTTCCAAGACCATGAGAGGCTGATACCAATTGCTTTCTGTTGCATTAATGTTTATCTCTTCCCCTCAGGATAGGATTTCTGGGACTTGGCCTGATGGGAAGTGGCATTGTCTCCAACTTACTCAAGATGGGTCACACTGTCACTGTCTGGAACCGGACTGCCGAGAAGGTAGGCATGTGCTTAACGTACAGATGATACGTAACCTTTTCTAAACATGTAGTTACCACCTCTAGCTCAGGGAGGCCTGGAGTCGCCGATCAGTGATGCCTGGGAGAGGATGCCAAAGAAACACAAGTATACGCTTGCCACCTTGTTCTATTATTATTTCCTAGGTCCTTGTTGGTGGCCACTTTTGATTAGATGAAGCTGTAGTCTGTCCTAGTATGGTCACTTTTATGTGAACAGTCCCCACGCCATTGCTATTTTGTATGAGATGAGAGAGTTGCCAGAAAAATTACAACCTCGTATATGTGTTGAGGAATGCAACGTAAAGTGCCTCTGGAAATACTGCTGCTGTAAATAGCCAAGTCATTGTGTCACGGAGCTGGACAAAAAGATGAAGTGCTGGCGAGTTGATCCTAGGAGTGGTGTGGTAAAACGCACTGCTTGACCACAGCTTCATCTACACATCCATTGTGCTGTTCATGTTGCAGTAACAACGGTTCTGTGGAAAACCTGCTGTGTCATGAGGCCAGGATGAGAAGAGTTTCATAGGTGTATTCAAAGTGAATATGGAGCTTATATTACACTTATATTCTATCCAGTGTTATTATTTGTAGTGGAGGAGGAAAAGTAGGTAACTGGGGGAGATGTGGCACTTGGATATTGTGGAATATCAAAGGCGTGAAGGGTTCCATGGTTACTTTGTTAAAAGGGATTAAAAGATTTTTTTTTTTTTTTTTAACTGCAAAACATGGATGGTATGAGGGGATAGGGTAAGAAGGAAGGAGCTAAGATTTTGAAGCAGCAGCCCTCTAAAACATGTCAGTCTCAGCTGTGCATATTTCTGTTTACTGTCCAGTAACAACTTTTGTTATGTCTGTTTACCAATTTTTTTCTGCCATCTCTCCTCCAAAACCCACAACATTCAATCTCTTATCATTTCACCTAAGTGTTCTCTTTTCCCCTGTCTTTCTTCTTAAATTCTTCACTTGGGGTTTCAGAAAAGCTGCAAAAGACTCCCTTGTGTGTGTGGGGGGGCAAACCAACAGAAGACAACCCAGTTGCTCTGTAATTAATATGCCTGACTCCTTTTGAGTTGGGTCCAGCAGCAGAATTTGTTTCAGCAAAATGCTGGAGAACCCATTTGCTCTGTACTTAATTTTTCTTACGTTTGGATTTGTGACTTTTGCAGTGTGATTTGTTCATCCAGGAGGGGGCACGGCTGGGAAGAACCCCCGCTGAAGTTGTCTCCACCTGTGACATCACCTTTGCCTGTGTATCAGATCCAAAAGCAGCAAAGGATGTAAGGATTAGCTCTTATTTTTCCTCCATCAGCTAGACTACAAGATACAGTCACTGAATGCCAGTTCTGATTCCTACTAACTATGGTAGCCTGGGTCATTGTAGATGTTGGGCAGTGCAGCTATGTAAAAATAAATGTCCCAACAAAAATCATACTTTTTAAAAAAAACCTACCCCCCTATCCCTTGGGGGGTAGGTTTTGATATCCCTCTAGGAGTGTACCACTGCAGTACCAGGCTCGCTTGAACTGCTGTCCTGCAGGATTGGAGTTTCTCTGCAGACACCCTATTGTTTCTGTTCCCCACAGCTGGTACTTGGTCCGAGTGGAGTGTTGCAGGGGATTCGCCCAGGGAAGTGTTATGTGGACATGTCCACCGTGGATGCGGATACAGTCACAGAGTTGGCCCAGGTAATCACATTGAACTGAACTAACACCTGTGATTCAGCAGCAGTACTGCAGTTCTTGTTGCTTCAGGTGGTAAGCTGTTGATAATAAAGATGCTTCTGAAGATTTTTGGGCTTCTTTTAGAAGACACTCAAGTCACAGGCAAATAAAACAAACTGTCAAATCTTGACCAGCAAACAAAGTTGAATGAGATGTTCACTGGTGATAACAGCAAAGCCTGTAGATTTGGTAGGGCTGTTAGCTGGCACCAATGCAAACAGCCAGCCAAATTTTGATCCCTTAAGAAGTATTTATAGCCAGATCGGTATTCTGTAGCAAACTGGAGGAGAAAGCACTGTCTTGATTAATAACTGCCCTTAAATTGATAAAATGTGTAATCTGCTTATTTTAAATGTTCTGGTTGGGGAAAAAGAATGCCTTCATGTTTCATTCTGTAGAAATATTATAGAGAGGATTTCTGTAGAAGTGTTCTGATTGTTTCTGATGTGGTATCTTTGATTTCCTCTTTGGCATCTTGATTGTTATCCTCTGCCCTGAAGGCAGCGTGGGTTGTTGCACGAGGAAGGGGAGCTAGTTTTAGTGAAGTTTTAAGCAGACATATTGGTGATGCAGTAGTGTGTAACACGAATTTGGAGAATGAAGAGTCATACGTATTAGTAAACCTCTGGCTGAAGAGATCTGTCAAAGGCCTTTCCTCTTTGGGGAAAAGGGGGGGAAACGTCATAACAGTCAATCTTCTGAGATTCCTACACCACATGTACAACTTCAGCACTGGTTCCTTGGCCGTTACAGGGTGCCATGGCAAAAGCACGTAAGTTGAGCTGCTTAAAACATGCACAGTAGTGATGGGCGTAGGAAAGTGTTGCTGGAGTGTGAGGGCAACTTTTGGTCTCGAGTACCCTTTGCAGAATGCAGCGCATTACGTGTTAGTGCTTTCCTCTCCTGTTTATATGTCCAAGCTATTTGTTCTGCTTTAAAGTTCTGTCCTCAGGGACAGGAGTACCCTAAACAATGTTCTTGCTGTGCTGCCTACTCAGCATCAATGCATGCTGTTCATGCACAGCTAACCAGAGATGCTCTTTTTCCAGGTGATAGTGTCCCGGGGTGGTCGCTTTTTGGAAGCACCCGTCTCAGGAAATCAGCAGCTATCTAATGATGGGATGCTTGTGATCCTGGCAGCTGGCGACAGGGGTTTATATGAGGACTGCAGTAGCTGTTTCCAAGCGATGGGGAAGACCTCTTTTTTTCTAGGTAATAGAAACACGAAGGGCCCGATAGCAGTTTCTTAGTCAGTGCAAGGACTGGGAATTCCAGCAAAGGAATCTGAGAGGCGTATGTGTCATCTGTTTCTTGTCTCCTTGGGCAGTATGGGAAACTGGCCTGCTCTTCTGGAACTTGGCCAATTTCAGAGCCTCCAGCCCAAGTTTTCTTTTTTGAATACTGGCTCATTTTGGAGGACCCGTGATGCTTTTTATTTTAAATCATACTTTGTTACGGTTTCTCCCTTCCTTTGAGTGCTTGGAAAATGGGGAATTTTCTGAAGTCTGTCAGGGGAAGGGAGAGCTGCCAAGTGCTTGATATGAAGAGTCTAGTAGTGTTAACGCTGTGTGGGATGGGGGAGCAAGGCTGCTGTGTCTCTTCTGGAGGAATGCCAAACGGTATGTCTCGCTCCCAGGTGAAGTAGGCAATGCTGCCAAGATGATGCTGATTGTGAACATGGTCCAAGGCAGCTTCATGGCAACGATAGCAGAAGGACTGACTTTGGCTCAAGTGACTGGCCAGTCCCAACAGACCCTTCTGGATATCCTCAATCAGGGACAACTTGCCAGCATCTTCCTGGACCAGAAGTGCCAAAGTAAAGTTCTCTTACATTGTTTCATTATAGGACATTTGCCACAACCTAGCAGCATTTCAGATAATGGCAGAAGGGAGAAAATAACCATCCTATCTTCATCAGCCTGGGATTCTGGGTATTTTAAGCATTTTGGAAATGAAGAGCTGAGTTCCATTCCTTCCCCTTCATAGCCAGGGCTTCTGAGAATCCACCCTAAGCTCTGCACTGTCTACAGCCTGCTTAGGACTTGAGTTCACAGTGAGGATTTCATTGGGGCAGGGTAATAAGTGAAATGGAGGGCAAGCTGCTTAGAAATCTGAGCTCACTTTGTCAGTGGGCAGTAGGACATTATCTGCTGTGGCCAGATGAATATAGAGAACAGAGAAACAGAAGAGCTAAAAGCAGTGTTCCTGGTGATCAGTATGGGAAAGGGAAGTTTGGTGTTGAATTGCATGACCTTGCAGTGTGGGCTTGATTTACTTTTGTCATGCTTATTTTTTGAATGCATTCCTCTCAACAGATATCTTGCAAGGAAACTTTAAACCTGATTTCTACCTGAAATACATACAGAAGGATCTCAGATTAGCTATTGCACTGGGCGATTCTGTCAACCACCCAACTCCCATGGCAGCAGCTGCCAACGAGGTAAGAGTTGTTCAGTATTCAGATATGTTATTCAACATTTCTTCAATAAAGCCATTTGTCAGCAAGAGACAAAAAACTAAGAATTATGTCGTCTCTAAGACAAGGGAACAGCGATTGAAATATATTTTGACTAGGATGGAATTGGATTTGTTTTGATTGTAGAAGCTCTTAGAACATCACATCAGTAAACACAGATGGCCTCAACAAGACCTGGTGTGTTCTGATTTGCGCTGCTCTAATTACTTGACATACTATGCAGTTCTCTGGTTTGCAGTGCTCAGCAAAGTAATTTTTCTGCTGGGGAAAGGCTTTGCACAAGAGCAGGCACTGATCCTTTTGTAATTTCTCTTCTCTAGGTGTATAAACGAGCAAAAGCATTGGACCAATCAGACAACGACATGTCTGCAGTGTACAGGGCCTACATCCACTAGGCTGCACCGTTCTTACTGTTAATAATATGATTATTGATTAATATTATTATGATACTGGGTTTTAACTCTGGACCAGTCCATCTCTGTCTCTCCATTTCCTTTTATACACAGACTTTGAGATCTGCCATGGAGGCAGCTGCTGCGGTGAGCCTTCCCCTGGTGGCAGAAGGGGGGGAGGAGGGGGCTCGGATTGTTGCAGTCTAATTAGAAAAATCCATGCCATGCACTGACAGTCATGGAACAGAACAGTGGCGGCTTGTTCAGAAGCTCTGAGGCAACTCTGCCAGAAATCTGCTGCTTGGCTGCTTTTATTTTCCTCTTTGTATGCTTGTCCAAGATGCTGTTTCTAACGATCCCTTTTCTCCTTTGCTGTGAAATAATGCATGTGTCAGACTCTCTGCGTCAAGGGACAGGTGACATACATCCCATCTACCTGTGAATATCACTAAAGTCCGTGGTCCCAAGTAAGGTGAGGAGCATTCCTGTTAATTGGCCACTGTTAGAGAGCAAAGCACCTCCCATGGAGGAGAATGGCAGTTCCAGAAGGTAATGGGGTTACATGCAACACTGTCTTGATTCTGTTTCTTTTTAAACTTCCACCTCCCCAGCACCTTGATGGAGGAATTCCTTGTACCGTTAAGAAGAACAGATTGCATCCATGTCTTCCCCTGTACAGACAACTGTAGCTTAGGGAGCACAAACCTAACTGAAAATGAGAGAATGCCAGTGTAAATGAGCCTCCTAAAAGGCTAATCACAGCTGCCAATCTCACAAACAGCATTGGAGATCAACACATTTGCATAGAAAACTGCAAGAGAAACATACAGCCTAAAACTGGGTCAGAGATATTTTATTTGGGGAAGGAATAAACTTTAGGGTTGCTTCTGGCCTTAGCTTATGTTGCTTTACTTCTTGCCTTTTTTTTTTTTTTTACCCTTGTAGTCAATAATTACAAAGGTGTCTTTGTAGCAGTGTCACAAGCAGAGTGATGAGTCTGAAAAGGGCGAGAAGAATGATCGTAGAGCCAAGAGATTGAGAATCCTGAGCTCCTTTCCATGTTCTCTCTCTGGCCTTTGCGTGGTCATTATATCTCTTAGCCTGTTTGCCCATCTTTAAAGGTGGGTGATGATTACCTACCTCACAGGGATATTTTTGTGTACTGATTAGTGATCTTTATACGTGTCAGATTTTCCATACATGTTTTTTGTGTTACTACTCTGGGTACAACACTAGCACAGCATAGACTTTTCCCTGTACCCGTGACTCTGCTTGTGGCCAGATACCAACTTCTGGAAAGACTAGTAAATAAAATGGGAGGATAAGACCACTGCTGAGCTTTAGTCTAGAAACATGGGACTCGAACTGCAGATGCCAAGGCTAGAGAGCAGAGATGCTCTCAGTGTTGAGCAACCCAGAGTCCAAAGGATGCCTGTGTCTCTAAAAATGCACAGAGCGTGGTTTGTTTGGTTTTTTTTTTTTTTAAATTGTTCTCAGTGTTAGCCTTTTAGGAGGGTTCTTGCATTTTAGATTTGAGAGTTAGTAAAATGCCAGTAAGAAACTTTATTGGCCAAAATCACTTCTCAGTGGCACAATCTCCTCCCTTGGGTTGGGATTCTGTAAGGAAAGAAAGCAAGTTCAAATTAGACCATCTTCCTTTAAATCCATGAGGTCTGTCCCTCCCACTATCTTATTTTTCTAGGAACTTAATGGCTGGGTGGGGGTTGCCTGTGGGTTAGGATTTCTTACCAATCCTGCTTTGTGCAGCACATGCATATGGTTCAGGGGCACCTTCTTAAGAAACAGAGAAAGTATCAGATACTCATTACGGATCATGACATCTAACGCTTAATGCTGTAAATGTTACTTTGTTGAATATTTCACCTCCTGTGATCACTATTATTTGTGGGCTAATATTGTGTTATGCATTATGTCCTGTGGTGAACATCTAGTAATAGATCTGTTAGACATCACTTTGCCCGTTTGTCAGTGGTATATGTGAACAATACTAGTTATACATACATGTTTCTTTGGCAGTGCAACTGTCATCCTGCATGTAGATATTCACATTAAAGGCACATATAACTACCCAGGATAACCAGCCATTAGCCTGCTTTTGACACAATTGCGCTTCCCCCATCCAGGAAGAACTCAGCTATTAGCATCAGAAGTCCTTGGTTAAACATGCTGCAGTTAAGAAATCACTTACATGAGTTGTGTATTGAGAGCATCTGGGGGAAATTGTGTTTTTGGGGGCAGGAGATAAGACCACAGGTTTTGTAGTGTAAGAAATCTTTGGGGAGGAAGAGGGAGGTACTGTCTCAGGTCCCTTTGAGAGTGGAACTGTGCTGAGCCAGTGCAGCAGCGTCCCTGACCTGTCCCTGCGGAGGTCTCTTGGGCCAGAGAGAAGGTGAATGGGTCTGAGCAAAGGTAGTGGAGGATCTCCCTCTTTTTTACTTTGTGGTGCCTCTGGATAGAGTGAGAATACAAAAGGAGCTCTCAAGTCCTGTGACGTGTATTTCATAGTGAATTCAAAGAACCGTATTTGTGAGAGGGAGAACCACTCCCTAGGCAACTCACTGCTGCAGGTTTTGTTTTCCAGAAATACTGTAGTTCTCAAAATGGAGATGGTTAGTTATGTGGGAGTGGCAGGTGCAGACTAGTTAAACATGGTAATTTATCCTGGGAAAGTCTGACTGCAGCTTTCTGGTGAGGTGGGTGGATGTAGAGTGGCTGGAGGGTGCAGTGCTGCCCAGCCAGCTGTACAATCACAGATGTGCCAGGGAGGAGCAGAAGGAAACCGAGAGCTCTGAAGTGGATGCGAAGTGAGGAGGAGGGATGGAAATGGTGAAAACCGGACTGTTTCAGATACCGTTTGAGGTTGACTCGTGTCAGTCTCACTCGGATTCTTGTATTTATGTCTGTAGCCTCTGAACATGGATCTTAATCTGTTCCTAGGCCTGAGATTTGGGGGAGGGAAAGGGGGGAAGCTGTGGATTGAGAGATGCTCTAATAAAACTGGCTAGTCAATGTTGTCTTAATATTGTTGAGAATTCTGTAAAGTTCCTTTTTATGAGGATTTCTGTTTTAGCAATTCGCTTTTTTTGACTCCCTCCTTTTTAAAGAGAAAATGTGACACTTGTGAAAAGCTTGTAAGAAAAGCAGTTTCTTTTTTCCTCAATGATAGATCCTATAGTTAATTAAGGTTGTGAATTTTTATTTTTATGCCTTGTTTTTAATTAACGTTTGTCATTCAGAATAGGATGTGTGAAAATGTTTAAATGGCAAAACAAAAAATTTTTTTGTGCAATTAACAAAGCTACTGGCAAAAAGAATAAAACCTTTCTTGGTTACACAATGTTCATGTGGCAGTTTCTAAAGCCTATCAAACCTGTATTGTGGCATTAAGGAAAGACGTGCATTCCTCAAAACATTCAAAAATCAGAGTTGCTGAGAAACAGCAGTATGCCTGAGAGCATTGTGGTCATTGCGGAAGCCTGATCTTGTTAGTGAGGCACTACACAGGATGGATTTGGATAAATTCCAGCCTCCACATGCTGCAGGCTGCATGCATCTGGACCGAGAGGAGAATGAAGGCTTAGTTTCAAAGCAAGGAACGCTGAGAGATGGAGGTCCAGGATCTTTCTGGTGTTGATGACTTCTTGTGTTGTCTCAGTGCTGGGAGCCTGGTGGCCCAGTTGCTCTGTCTGGAGTATCCTTCCTTCTAGCATTTGGGGTTTTTGAGCACTAACTCAGCAGCGAGTGGGGTTTTCCAAGACAAGATCCCTTAACTGAAGTGTTTGCAACCTCCAGATCATTGCTTTTTGATGATCCAGGCAGCGTTTGCTGTCCAATAGCAGTAGATGCTTATGTACTGAGGCATAATGGTGTGCTTTAGTTAAATGCATCACAGGTGCTAAAGTAAGGAAAAACTCAGTTTTAGCACTGTGATTAAAAGCAATGCAGAAAGTGATGGAGCAAGGCCATCAAGACCAGCAAGTTGTGCACAGCAGAAACTGGCCATATCAGAAGCTTTACCTGCTCTGTGACTGAATAACGCATTCCCTTCCAGAACCCACCTTGCTGACGTGGTGAAGAAGATGATGCTGTTTGCTAGGCCACCTCTCGCCTGCTTTTCCAATGGGGAAAGGAACCCACCAATTTCAATGCAAAGACTTCAACGCCAGTATAAATCTACTTCAATTTCAAAATTTTGAGAGGAAACTGATGAGACGTCCGAGTCTCTACCCGTTCTTGAGGATTCTTACATGTATGCAGTCAGCTGCGGCTGTGCGTAGCGCAGATCAAAGCCAATTCGCACTGCAGTAGTAACCGAAGCGCCTGCACCGCACCCACGGGCCAGCGCTGCGGCACCTGGGGGATGGCCGGGCCGCGCCCCCCGTGCTGCCCCTCCCCCAGGCC